TTGTGCGATGCGGCTTGAGCCCTTGTTTGTCCATATTGCTTGTATGGCATCTTTTGGCATGTTGGCACTGTTTGCCTGGTCGTTGAGCCGTCACAGGAAGGCCGGGATGGCTAGAGTGTGATGTAGTGTCAGATTTGGTATCCCATCAGGGCCAGGACTCACTTGGTCTGTGTATCTGTTGATATAGGGCTCCTGGATAGCCAGGATCTCTAGGTTGCGCACCTCTTTCTCACCAAAGAGGTGTATCATCACCTTCTCACATGATTTCCAGCAGTTGGCCTGCAGGATTTGAATTCATTTAATATCCATTATTGATTACAGTTCTTCCTCCATTGGGTCTTCATTGGAGTGATACTGGCTTTGCTCATCATCAGACTCTTGACCATGCTGCTGATTATAGCTTTTGCATCAGTTTTGAGTCTGTCTGAGTACTCTTGGAGCAGCGTCAGTATTTGGGACACTAAGAGCTCTTGCTCTAGACTGCTGGTGAGGGCCCTCCCTGAGCTGCAGAGTCTGGGTCTGGGTGTTCATCTCATTTTCTGGTTGGGTATCCGTCATAACGCTGTTTAGTTCAAGTTCATCTTCTGTGCGAGGTCTTTTATTGCTCTTTCTGGGTCGGCCTGGGCCATGGCGTTGAGTGTGGTGCTCTGCAGCTTCTGCAGGGGTGGGGTCTTGGCCTTGTTCCTCCCCTGAGAGGCCTACAAAGCCAAGAGAGACTGGAGCACTCTCATACCATCCATGTCCATTTGCTCTGTTATGACGTGCAATCTCCACTCATTCCACACGAGCTGGACAGCTGCGGACGCGGTCAAAGGCAAAGTGATCCTCTGAAGTCTTCTCACTTTGCTTAGTGTTCTGTTTTTGGCAGACTGCACACAGGGCCTTGGCACGGTCTCTTGCTGTAGGACAGTCCTGAGAGGAGTGATTTTGTGCGCAGTATGCGCATGAGGTAGGTTGCTTGCAGTTTCGGGCTATGTGGCCATATGCTTGGCAGTTGAAGCACTGCTGAATCCGATGAGTTTGGTCGTAGAATTCGCATGGGTGATCGCGGCCATTGAGTGCTAGGCCGAGCAGTATGGCGATATTGGCCGCTCGGTCATTATCAAACTCAAAAATCAGCTTCGATGTTTCTGGTTTATGTTCTGTAATGAAAAGCATTTAGAACCACCTCTGAAAAGATAATAATATCCATTACCTCTGCCCTATCATATCTCTCTTATCGAAAATATTGGATCTTATGTAGTATAAGAGCCCGTTAGAACCCTAATGATTTTTATAAATCAATCTCATTAGTCCCTGTAAATTGTTGTCTTCCCTTCAAAGCTTGCTTTTGCGCGCTCGGCGTTACTAGCTAGTTAGATTATACTGTATTTCAAGCCTGGCAATTTTTTTTTTTTTTTTTTTTTTTTTTAGATATATATCTATTCGCAAACTACTGATTATATCCGCGTGACTATACTTATATGTTTGAATAGCCTAATATGATCCTAAACAATGTTGAACTCGAGATATACTAACTGTCATTTTGTATGGGAATATAAATTCGCAGCTCGGCCGTGTCGCCCCATTGCAGACATGTTCAGATACTGCCTTCTAGGGCTTCTTGCTGCCAACGCGATGCTACCATGAAGACAAGACCAATTCTGATGAAACAACCCACCCCCGGCAAGACATATCGGGTACAACCATATAAATTATGGTATACTTACTGTCCTTCTTTCTTTTCATCCCATCTAAGTAAGCCACCAGAAGTCTCTGAACTCTTATTTTGTTATTTAACACCATCCAAGATCCACCATACCACCATGAAAGGTCAATGCATATTGAAGTTCCTCCTTGGAACTCTGCTGGTGGTTCTGCTTCTTGCAGCGCAAGTGCTCACCACACCGGTCCCACTGTGAGTTCCCGGTCCTATACTACACAATTGCACAGGAAGACAAATTTTGTCTGACCTTCCTAGATCATCTCTCAGCAGCAGAGATTTGCAGTTGCACCGTACCCTGGAAGCTCGAGGATTCAGAACCCTTTTCCAAAAGCTCAGAAAGGGAAAAAAGGGAGACTGCACTAACGCCTGTGACCTAAGTCCGCACCAAGGGCAACAAAAGCCCGAGCCAGTTCTTGAAACAACAACACAGTCACATTTGGAGAGTCTGTGGCTTAAAGCCAAGAAGAAGTTGACTGTGGGCAATGTTGAACATTTTACATTGGACCCAACCAAGGCTGTTAGCTATGGAGCGACTGAAATCTATGGCTGCACTGTTCTTGTGGTTGTGGATGGACGCAGTGTTACCATTGGTCACTTCCCCCAGAAATCAGGATCAGGTATCACAATGGAGAATGAGCAGCATACGCAGCAGAAAATCATTGACCGAATGGAACGCAATCTTGTCCTGGCTGACTACACGACACAGTCAGTGGCCTATATTGTGCACTCAGCCACCCAATCTTCAGTGGGATATAAAAAAAAATTAAAGAATACTTGGTCAACGAAAATGTGTCTGAGGAAAACATCCACAGTAAGCCATATACTGCAAGTTTGTCTACTGTTGGCCACCGAGGGAAGGTTTCGGTGACCTGGGATCCTAAGGACGAAGGAGGAGCGACCATGAAGGTTTACATCCAAAATGACAATCCTATATACGTGCAAGACTATGATGCAAATGGGGACCCTTGTGAATTGATTGGTTGAGCTTGGAATTGGCAGGTGATAGGATAGTTTTCAAAAAAAAAAAAAAAAAAAAAA